CCTCCGCAGTCCCAGCCGCAGCCCCTGCTCCTGCCTGGCCAGAGCTGGCAGACTTGGGGTCCGTCAGATCCAGCACGGAGCATGTCCTGTCTATACCTCCCTCCTCAAGAGGCCCACCTGAGCCTCAACCTCATTAAGCCCAAGCACCAGAGACCAGACTACTCAAGGCTCCCAGGTCAGAGTGCAGCGGCCAGCACCACCCAGTGAGGTGGAGGAGAATCTTCCCATTGCTGCTCCCCGAGGCGGCACTCCCTGCCATATGCCGTTGCCTGTTGATGCCTGTTAGCTCAGTGGCTTTTACATGTGTGAAAGGTGGTAAAAAAGCCACAGAATATGCAAGGTATGAGTTTTATCTGGCCCTTCACAGTCTGCGGAAAGACACTGACCACGGGTCTCCCTACACCTCCACCTCCCCTCCCACCTGCTCAGGTTGGACCCCGAGACCCAGCTCAGCCCCAGGGCTCTGCCTCAGGTGCCCTCCGATGGAGCCCAGTACCCACTAGGGAAGCCCCTTCAAGTGCATAAGCCACCACTGAGCCCATACAGTAGGGGGTTGAGCGCACACACTGCGTGACACTTGCGGGTCCCCTAGCCCTGCTGACCCTGTGCACTCACAGAACTCCACCAGCAGGGCGGGATACTCCTGCAGGGCCAGCCCCAGAGTGCGGCTGCTCAGCACCAAGATCCCATCCTCCTCAGGAATCTCCTCTTCCCGGGGCTCCTCCAAGGGACCCCTGGGCCCTGGGCCCTCTCCCTGGAGGCCCGAGGCCCCGAGCAGCAGCAGTAAGAACACAGACAGGAGCTGGCTGTCCATGGCAGTGCCGAGGCCCACGGGGCGGGGGCAGATAAGGGGGCAGGGGGCCAAGCAGCAGCTGCCACGTGGCACCCAGTCCTGGTCTCAGGAAAGATAAGGGCACAAGGCTCCCCCCACCCCAGGGGGAGGGGAGGTAGACAGAGGCGACACCGAGGGCACTGAGACAGGCGTTTAATGGGGCTATTCAGGGCACAGTGCCAGGCCCAGGAAGGGGCGTCCCGAGACATCATGAGGGGTCTCATCACTGACTGAAGGGGCTGGGGAGTGCTCAGGGGTCCCTGTGCAGTGACTGACAGAGGCAGAGGAAACAAGAACCCTAAGTGGGGAGACAGCTCCCGGGGCAGGGCAGGGAGGGTGGTGCTCAGCTCTTCCAGTCTTGGCAGATGTGGAGGCCCCACTCCCAGGAAAGGTGGTCTGCCCTGTCGTCATCAGTGAAGAAGGATGTGACCACGTAGGCTCCCCTCACCAGTGCGCCCCGTGGCGCTTCCTCCACCGGAGTTACAAACTCGTACTCCTGGGTGCTTGGGCCATAACTGCCCACCATGTACACGGCCTTGTCCACTGGGGGAGGGAGAGGCCATCAGGGGCTGCCCTCTTTCCCACTGGCCCCCAGCCCTCCAGCCCCAGGCCTCCCCTTCACGGGGATCTCACCTCGTAGGCCCCTGCGGTAGGTGTGATGAAGACACTTGAGGCCACTGACAATTTCCTTATTGACCTGAGGGACAAAGAGTGTTAAGGGTCCCTCTTGGGGGCTTAGCCAATGCTGGCTGGCATTGCCATTGATAGCTGCCCTCACCTTAAAAGTAATCTTCACTTTGTAATCAACACCTTCCTTCAGGACAAACACCTGATTTTTCAGTGCAGCCAGCTCCCCTGTTAGGAAAAGTACAGCTGAGGAACAAGTTCCTGCAATGGCTGAGCCCCCGCCCCAGCAGCCCCCATAGTGGGGCAGTATCCGTGAAGTCTACATGATGAGTCCGAGGACTGGAGTTTGAGCACGGGGCTCTAAGAGGTGTCTACCCCAAAGATCAGTCTGTGGTTTGCAGAAGGGTGTTGTTACCTGTGAGGTCCATGGTCATGGGCCCCGGAGCCTGCTCAGACATCAGTGTCAGCCTGGTCACCTGCACATTGGGCAGGCTCGGGTCTGAGGAGAAATTGGAGGTCTATAGGAGGCACCCCCCACCAATTCTCACCCCCCCACCCCCACCCCCATCCAGGGCCCCTGTTCATACCCACAGCCAGCGGCAGGGACCCCAGAAGCACCCGCTTGTACTTGACCAGGCTCTCATCTTCTGGGTCCAGCTGCTGGATCTCTAGGAGGCTCTTCCTCCCCGGGGCCCGGTACCCTGGCACAGCTTCGTCCAGCACCTCATCTGGGGGCAGCTGCCCCCCTTCTTTGTCTGTCAGAAGGACTGGGGTCGGGAAGGTGAGTGAGTGAATGCTACCAGCTACCCTGGGCATTCACTTGTCAAACTGGAGCCCTCCCATCTGGTCAAGTTGTACCTCCCCTTGCCCAAAGGAACTTAAAAGGAAGCCAGCCAGTAGAGGCTCAGGGAGGGAGGAGGTGTGGGATTAGGGAAGAATGAAGAATGTGTGAGCTTAAACAGGGAGGGGTGCAGGGGGCCTCAGGGAGAGGGGTGGGCTGCAAGAGGCACAGTAGCATCCACACCCTCTAGGAGGGGCCCTGGGGGTTGTCGAGGGTTCACCAGAGCCAAGTGACATCTCTGGAGGCACCAGCTGCCTTCTTCTGGCCCAGCCATCCATCCAGGACCCTTCCCTGACTCTGAGGCCAAAGGTGGGGAGACATCCCCAAAGACTGGGGACCACCACCATTGAGTGATGACTTCTAAAGTCTTTCCTGGAGCAGAGGACCTGTCCCCATGGTCCTCTGGGGCCCCCAGTGCTCTGAGGTCTCTTTCCACATTCCCTCAATGCTCTCAGAAGCCTCTGGCCCCTATCATCCTGCTCAGTCAGGGACTGGGGGGTCTCTGATTGCCTTCCCACAGTCCTAGGAGTTCCTTCCATAGCATCCCTGGGGGATGGGGTTCGCTTTCCTCAGCTCAAGCTCTGGGGCCACCTCCCAGAGTCTCCTGGAGCCCCTTCCTAAGCTGGGCTGGGATAAGGGTCTCTAAGCCCTTCTCGTAGTGTCTAGGGACAGGGTTTGTCTGAGTCCCTGCCCATTGCGCTTCAGTCTTCTCAGGAATCGCCACACACCCTGAAGGAGCCCCAGCCCCACCCAAGGGAGTAGGCTGTCTGGAGCAGACCCGCCCACTCTTGGCTCCTTTCCCCAGGAGTGTTTAGCTTGTAGGAAGCCCCTCACCCCCGCCAGATCGCTACCAGGAGTACCACACCACAAGGTCCCCGCGCGCCCCCAAAGTTTCCACGGGGGAGGGGCAGGTCCCCGCCCGGGGCTAAAGCCTCCCCTGGCCAGAGCCCCCCGCCCACGTGGCCGTCCTGGCCCCTACCGAGCCGGCTCACCTCGGGCGCATAGCGCCAGCCGGAGCAGTTCCAACAGCTGCGCCCCCAGCTCGCACGCGTCCAGGCCCAGCATGGTGGCCCGCGGTCCGGCTCCGCCGCGGAGCCGCCTAGGAGCCGCCGCCCGGCTTGGCGCTCAGCCCCGGCGCGACTGCGGTGAGCTCATCCCGGCCGGGAGCGCCCCCCGCGCCCAGCGCCGCGCCCGCGCCGCGCGCCCCCAGCTGCTCCGCGGACCCCGCGCAGCCCCGCAGAGACGCGCGTGTCGCCCGTACCTCGCCGTTACCCTATCGTCCCCGCCGCCGGCTCACCAGGACCCTGAACAGCCGCCGCGGACCACGGCCAGAGTCACGGTCCCAGCGGCCCGCCCAACTGCACCCTGTCTGGCCATCAGGGCTGCCTTACCCCTCCTGCGCCGGGGGGAGCCTGAGGGCTCTCTAGGGAAGACCTCTGGGCGGGGCCGGTGGGACCGAAAGTGACGAGTGAAGCAGGTGCTACCGTCCCCCGCACCCCTCCCGCCCCCCCCCTCCCCGCCCCCGCCATGTCCCCAGGCTCTTATTACCAGCAGGCAGTGCAGGCCGCACCTGGGGCCCAACAGTCCCCGACTCTCCCCCTACTTCCTCCCAGCCGAGCTTCTGTCTGGGCAGAGGGGATTCCTAGAACCGCCTGGCTTTGGGGGCTGGGGGACACTAAGTGTTTTCTGCACATCCTCCTGGCCCTGCACCCCAGAGGTTACAGCCATGAGCACAGAGAGACCAGAATACACATGCACAAGGCTGGGGTCACCACCCGCGCAGCCTTCACTCAGTGTTTACTGACTGGGCTGCGTATGAGTGTGGTGGTGGGGGTGGGGGTCTCTGTATGTTCTGGGGACCCAGAGGATTCTGAAGGCCTCTCCCTGTCCTTGGGGAGAAGAGGACACTGATTCGAAACAGAACCGGGGAGATGGAATGTTGAGAGCAGGGACACAGAGGGGCCTCTGGTCTTAACACCTAAACAAACCCTGGGGTGGGTAGATGGGAGCCAGCCAGAGCAGGGAACAGGGGTAGGCTGGGCTTCAGGCTGGGGACAGCCAGATCAAAGGCCTAGGTCTGAGTGGAGGAGGAGGAGGTGGAACACCAGCACCCAGTGGCATACGGCCCTGGTGCCACCCACATGATGTCACGCATGGGTTACACAGTCGCAGGCACACACTTCTGGGGCAATCGGACCCCTTGCCCTGACCAACCCCATTGCCCACCCCTGGTCCCTGCACATTCTGAGGGCATTACACATGGCGTGAGTATGGGGGCAGGGTTTCTAGTAGACTCATTGCCCCCCACCCCAGCCCACCTTCCCCAAAAGTCCCTTCTCCTGAAGACTCTCCCCCCACAGAGCCCCCTCCCCTTCCCTGATTTCCCAACCTCTCCCTGAGTCCTCACTTCCCTCCCTCTTCCCGAGCCCCTGTTCCCTCACAGGACCTCTCTCTAAGGCCGCATCTCCGAGTCCCACCTCAGGACACTTCTCACAGGCACGCAGCCCCCTAGCAAGTCCTCCCGCGCACAGGCCTCAGTTTCTCCCGACGTGGGGGAAGACACATGGGCGTGGGCAGTCTGGTGTCGGCCCTTTCCCAGACCCAGAAAGGGACCTGGGACCAAACCCCAGGCCCAGGAGGGTTAACTCGGTCGTGGGGCGGGGCGGGGCGGGGCAGGGCGTCTCAGACGCCTAAACTCCCGCCGGTTTCGCCCCGTAGCCATGGCCGCCGCACCCGCGCACCCTGGTGGGCGCTCCCGTGCGCAGATGCCTCACCTGAGCAAGGTGGGTGCCAGGTGGGGGTCCTGCCGTCCCCAGGATTTCAGGCATCGAGGCTGGGAGGGGCAGAAGAGGAGTGGGTGCGGGTGAGCGCGGGTGTGGACGCGGGCCCGGGGGCGTCGGCATTTTGTGGAGTGGGGTGAGGCGGCGGAGACCCCGGGTGCTGTGGGGGAAGGGTCAGCCGTCGCCTTCGCTCCGCTCCCTCCACCTCCCTCGTTGCCAGCGTGGCCTGAAATGCCACCATCTGTGCCCGTTAATCTCTGCACACACTGATCCGGGCAACCCGGCCAGGTCCGTGGAATCAGGATCTGGGGTGGGGGAGGCCAGCCGGGCAGCCCCTCAACGACCCATTTGCCCAGATGGAGCGGATGGTCTTGAGTATGCAGGACCCTGACCAGGGCGTGAAGATGCGGAGCCAGCGACTGCTCATCGCAGTCGTTCCTCACGCTGTGACTGGTGAGGCTGGGGGCTGGGGGTTAGGAGGGATACCGGCCCTGCCTTGGCCTCCCCCACCCAACCTCTTCTATGTAGGCAACGACATCGTGGAGTGGCTGATCCAGAAGTACTGCATCTCAGAGGAGGGTAAGGGGGTCAGCCCGCTGCCCATTCTGGCCCCTACCCAACCCTGGGGTCCCAGGGCTGATGCGGTTGGGCCTTCTGGGGCTCACCAGTATCAGGCCAAGCCAAGTGTGTTGGGGAAGAGAAACACATCCCAAGAGACCCTGCTCCATTCTCCCCAGCTTGAGAATCCACCACCTTGACTCCTCCTCCCCCTCAAACCCTACCCCCCAGAGGCCCTGCACTTGGGCATCCTCCTGGTGCGGCATGGCTACCTATATCCACTTCGCGACCCCTGCAGCCTCGTGCTCCAGCTTGATGAAACGCTCTACAGGTTCCAGGTCAGGCTCAACTGGAAGCAGGTGGAAACCCCGCTCCCCCCATCCCCCCTCCCCCAACCCTCCAGAAGCCCAGCTAGTGGGGATTCCTGAAGGGGGCAGCGCTGGGTGGGAGCAAAATATGGTGATGTCCCAGCAGGCCTGGTGGTCTCCTGTCTCCTCCCCAAAAGGCCTGGACTGGAATCTTCCTTGTGGTAGAAGGATCAAACTAAGGGGAGGGGACTTCAGTTTTCCTGGGGCCACAGCAGGGCCTCCATGAGGGGCAGTACCTACGGAGGATTCTGCCAGCTTTCCCAGGTCCTTAGGCCCTCACTCCGAGAAGGAGGCTGTGTGAGGCCTGAGGACAGGATCCCTGCACGTCAGCGTGTGTGTGCCCTCAATCAGGATGGACCGCCTGCCTGCCCTTCCCCGCCACAACAGGAACCCAAGTCAGGCCTGCTCTCAGTCTCTGTCCCTGCCTCCCAGCATAGACTGTGACTGTATCTGGGGCTTGGGAAGGCCCCTCGGCCCCTCTCCCTGAAGTGGGAGCTCCTGGAGCTCAGAGTCAGGGAGGCAGCCCCTGCACTGGGCACCAAGTGGTGAGTGGAGCTCAGTTCCAGGTGGAGAGAAATGCCCAGTGGTCAGCTGAGCCTCCAGGCCGTGGACAGACGGGCAGATCCTCAGGCACCCCACCCCCAGCCAGCCCAGTCTCTTCCTAAGGGAGCTGAGAGGGTGGGGGCAACTCCTGGGGTGGAGAAGGCCCAGGAGGTCCTAGACACCCCTTGTTCCCACATGGCACCAGACACCCTATTTCTGGATGAGCACTCTGCGGCCAGCTGCGGAGCTGGACTATGGTGAGTGAGGAGGGATGGGCTAGCCTGGCACAAGCTCCATGGGGAGATGGCCTCTGGGCGACGCCGCAGGGGAGGCGGGAGCAGAGATTGCTCCTCTGCAGCCTGTCCCTCTGTCCTTCCAGCCATCTACCTGGCCAAGAAGAACATCCAAAAGCAGGGGGCCCTGGTTGACCACGAGAAGGTGGGACCCTCCCCCAGGCCATGTCCAGCCCGAGGAACCCAAGCCCCGCTCGTGGCCCTAGAGCCTCACAGTTTCTCTGGGAGCACACAGCCCCGGCCCCAGGATAATGCAGACACACAACAGACCACGCACCCTGCAGCGTCTCAGGGGGGGAGGTGGGAAGGTCCATGCCCGGCCCTACAGCTTGGCATGGAAAGGGGTTGCCCACTGGAGACCTTGACATCACCCCCAGGAGCACTATGACCAGCTGCACAGGAAAATCAACCATACATGGGACCTTGTAGTGATGCAGGCAAGAGAACAGCTGCGGTGAGACCCCAAGTCCAGTGCGCGCAGAGCCCAGACCGCCCGGAAGTCCAGAGGTTCCCAGCGGGGCACGGGCGGTCATGGGACCAGAAGCAGCACAGCCCTGGCCCTGGCCCAGGGTGGGTGGGGGAGGTGCTGTGGTGGGTGGGCACCATGTTCCTCCAACTCTGCCTGTCTCCACCAGGGCAGCTAAGCAGCGCAGGAGGGCAGACAGGCTGGTCATTGCGTGCCAGGAGCAGACATACTGGCTGGTGAACAGACCCCCGGTGAGCCCCTCATGTTGGGCAGGAGTGGCTCCTTGGACTGCAGCAGGTCCTACCAGGAGTCAGTATGCGCTCCTCGAACGCTCTACCAGGACTCGTGGGAAGGATATACCCAGTGTGTGGCAGGAGGTTTTAAGGCCCTTGGGATGAGGCCACTGGAAGCGAGGCTTAGCTGCAACTTCTGGGGGTCCTGGCCAGGGGTCAGTCCTCATCGGAACTGCAATCCTAGCAGTTGGTTTGAGGTCCCCTTTCTGTGTGGGGCAGTGGGGAGATGTCTGAGTCCGTTGCGGCAGTCACAGCAAACCATGAATGGAAGCTCCTGTAGGAAAAACCCAAGGAAAAAGATCCCCGGAGGCACCCACTGCCCGATTACCTCATCAAGGGTGTGTGTGCGGGGGGGCTGGGGGGGGGCTATCTTTGGGAAAATGACTCAATCTTCCACCTGAGGGCCTGGTGGCCAATCCGGGGAAGGAAGTGGAGTGGGCTTGGCCCCAAGGCTGCGTGCATGGGCTGAGGGTGGGGCCCAGGTGCGGACCAGGCCAGCCACGTGGGGGTGAGGGGTGTATGTGGAGGGGACGAGGAATGGCAGGCAGCTGGATCTTCCAGGCAAGTAGATACGAGCGTTCCAACCTGGGCAGCGGTAGGGAGAGGGCCAGAGCAGCATGTGTGTTTGAGGACAAGGTGGCAGGGCAAGTGGGTTCCAGTGAGTGGAACTGCCTCAAGAAGGGCAGTTAGTTAGGTGGTTAGGTTTCTGGCTTGAACTGTCAGGTACGTGGAGGTGAGCCTGGCTGAAAAGGGGAAGAATGGGGAGGTTTGGGGAGGAGAGTCAAGGATTTCGCTTCAGTGGCAAAGCCAGGCTGGGATGCCATGTGCATCTGGAGCTGAGAAGAGCCCTGAGCAGGGTGAGGTGCTGGAAAGGAAACTGAGAGCAGCTCTGGGAGGGTGGTCATCATGGGGTGGGAATGGGCAGAGAGGAGCCTCGGGGGCTCAGGACTCAGGGCTTAGGTTTCTGGGTTCCTCTGAGTGTCAGTTTCCATGTTAAAGGGTGACATGTGGGCTCAGAGCGGCCGTATATGGGGGCCAGTGAGGGGCAGGAACATAGCCTTAGGGTGGGGTCCCAGCAGCCCACCTGAGCTGTGCCCCCCACCTCACCTAAACTCCCCTCTGCAGCCTGGGGTCCCCAGCGTACTGGAGCAGGGTCCAGAACGGGGATCCTGCCTTGCCAGGCGAGTGCAGATGGTAAGGTCCCTGTACACACGCACGCCCCGCCTCCCGCCCAGTCCCCACTCCTGCAGACATGCCCCCCGCCACTCCCACCCACAACAAGCCCAGGCACACACGCCTCCCCACCCCTACTCCACCGCTACGGGCCTACTTGGGAGCTGCCCACCCGTCTGTGCATTCATCTGTCCATCCAAACGGCACTTGAGACAGCTACTCCAAGTGCCCTGCCCCGCTTCTGGTCTTATTCTCCCCTCACACTAGTCCCTTAGTCCCAGCTCCCCTGCTAACTCTCATCCTCTCTTGCCTCCCACCTGCTGCCCTGGGTGAAAGTAAGTGCAATGGACCCTGGGGAGGGTGGGGGGCTCCTCCCCCAGGTCAGACCAGCCACCGCTCTCCAAGGCCTCTGGGGGCCTCAGGAATTAGAAGGAACTGCACCAGGACAGACATGGCCGAACTTTGTAGCAGCAGAGCCCTGTGTTCAAATCCCATGAAACATAGTACAGATACATTTAGTGCCTTACTGATAAAACTTCTTCCTAACTTCAAAATCATAAGCTCATGATCACAGATTTATAATTTCCCGTTATGAAGTTGGTTCAGGAGAACTGAGGCAAAAATTGGAAATCACAGGCACCCTGAGGGTGTTCTCTGCCTCCCCCAGGCTCTGTCAGTGATAGCTGTGGAGCGTTCGGAAGGGACAGCCAGTCCCATGGCCACCTGGAGCACGAGGAGGTGGCAGACAGGTTCTGAATTCTGAACACGATGAGTTTGGATCACAGTCAACAGTCTGGGTTCCTAGTGTGACCCACAGTAGCAGTCTTCACTTACATGCTGTTTTTAAAAAGTGATTTAAACACATTTGGAAATACAGAATAGTGATCATTGGGGAACCTCAAGGCAACTTTGAAAACATTCTGGGAATCTCCAAACTATAGGTCCCACAAGCTTCCTGGGAAGTCAGACCCTGGCATCAGAGGAGGGGCTCTAAGGGACGTGGCAGGGGCCTGGGCCCTTCTCTGCCAGCCCGTGGTGGGGTGTCAGTCCCTAGCGGAGGCCTGCCTTCTAACTGTAGCTTTCCTGGCCCCTTCCAGACCAAGAACACGGATTTCTATAAGCAGGAGGTAGGTCCTGGGGGGCCAAAAGAGGGGAGCGGGCTGGCCGACTCCCAGCCCAGACCCTGCCTCACAGGTCCCGTGTCATAGATCGAGTACTGCAGAAAGGCCCTGGGCAGGACCCGGGTGAAGTCTTCTGTCTGCCTTGAGGCGTGAGTGGGATGGGGGTGGCAGCTGGAGACCCCAAGCCCAGAGCCCAGGCCCTTCCTCTAGTGCCATGGCCCCTACGTGCACCTGATTCCATTCGCACTCCCAGGCACCTGAAGTTCAGCAGCCAGCACGGGCCACATGACCCAATCATGTCGGGATGCCTCCCCAGCAACCCCTGGATCACAGACGATGACACCTACTGGGCCATGAACACATCCAGGTGAGCCCAGGGTGGGAGAGGGGTCTGCAGGTGTTCTTCCCAGCTGTTCCCCCCACCCCACGTTCCTCATGCTCCTGACACACACCTCCCCCACAGTGTGGCTGCACCCACAAAGCTCCGTGTAGAGCGATGGGGCTTCAGCTTCCGGGAACTCCTGGAAGATCCCGTGGGACGGGCCCATTTCATGGACTTTCTCAGGAAAGAGTTCAGTGGTGAGACACGCCCACCTCCTGTTTGAGGCCCTGGTGAAGGAGGCTGGGCTTCCCCCTGCCCCCGCCCGTTTGAACTAGCCCTGGCTGCAGCTCAGGGTGGGCCTGACCACCTGTGCCTGGACCCCCCAGCCGAGAACCTCAGCTTCTGGGAGGCGTGTGAGGAGCTGCGCCACGGAGGGCAGGCCCAGATCCCTGCCCTGGTGGACTCTGTGTACCAGTGAGTTCAAGAGGTGGGCCTGGCGGCTGGAGGGCAGGCCTGTGGAGCCTGGACCCACCCCGGGGCTGCCCCCCTGTCTTCACACAAAGGCAGTTCCTGGCCCCTGGCGCTGCCCGCTGGGTCAATATCGACAGCCAGACGATGGAGCTGACCCTGGAGGGCCTGTGCCGGCCCCACCGCTATGTCCTGGATGAGGCCCAGCTGCACATCTACATGCTGATGAAGAAGGTAGGGAGCCTCCACTCGAGACCATAAAGCCATTTCCAGACTTCTGTGTGTAGGTAGTTCAGGACGTTCCTCTACAGGACATGAACCACCTTTCAGCACGGCTGCAGATGTCAGCAGCACACCCGAAACACAGTGTTTACTCAGTGTCCTCAAATAGCCAGTCAAGGGCCATACCTGCCCACTTGGCCTCTGGGGTTAGTTTCCTGTTGCTGCTGTAAAAAACACCACAAACTTGGTGGCTGAAAGGAACACATATGTGTTCTCTTGAGGCCAGAGTCTGACACAGGTACCACTGGCTAAAGTCAAGGTGTCCGCAAAGTTCATTCCTTCTGGAGGCTTCAGGGGAGAATCCATTCATGGCCTTCCCTTCCTCGAGGCACCTGCATTCTTGGCTTGTGGCCCATTCTCCATCTTCAAAGACAGCAGTGTACCATCTTTTTTTTCCTTTTTTCTTTTTTCTTTTTAATTTTTAGAAGTTTGTTTATAGCACTCGCTGATATGTCTCAGTGGTTTGAGCACCAGCCTGTGAACCAAAGGGTCACCAGTTTGATTCCCAGTCAGGGCACATGCCTGGGTTGTGCGCCAGGTCCCCAGTAGGGGACACGTGAGAGGCAACCACACATTGATGTTTCTCTCCCTCTTTCTCTTTCCCTTCTCTTTTGTCTAAAAATAAAATAAAATCTTTTAAAATATATAAAAAATAAAATATTTTTCCAAGTTTATTGATAAACTTTAACTATAATTGAGATACAATATTATACTAATGTAGAAGCAGAGCATCTCTCTGATCATCCTGCCTCCCTCTTTCACTTAGGGATCCCTGTGATTACACTGAGCCCACCTGGATAATCCAGGCAATCTCCCTATGGCAACATCATTAATTTAATCATATCTGCAAAGTCGTTTTGCCACATAAAGGGACATATTCACAGGGTCTAGGGATTAGGGTGTAGACATCTTTGGGAAGTTTTCTTTTTTTCTTTTTTAAAGGATTTTATTATTTATTTTCAGAGACAGGAGAAGGGAGGGAGAAAGAGAGGGAGAGAAACATTGACTGGTTGCTCTTGTTTGCCCCTGAATTGGGACCCAGCCCACAACCCAGGCATGTGCAGTGACAGGCATCGAACCAGTGACCTTTCAGCTCACAGGCCAGCACTCAATCCACTGAGACACACTAGCCAGGGCTCTTTCTTTCTTAAGATTTTATTTTTTTGTTTTTAGAGAGAGGGGAAGGGAGGGAGAAAGAAAAGGAGGGAACATCATCGATCAGTTGCCTCTTGTATGTGCTCTGATCGGGGACTGAACCTACAGCCTAGGCATGTGCCCTGACCTGGAATCGAACCAGTGACCTTTTGCTTTGTGGGACCACACTCAACCAACTGGGCCACACCAGTCAGGGCCGGGCAGCTTTATTCTGTATACCACAGCCTATAAATATTCATCTTTCTAATTTTTTTCAATTTGCTTGACTTTGGATGCAAACAAGGTCCATACGTTAGAACTGGTTAATGTCTCTTAAATCTGTTTTTAGAGTACTGTATAGGTTCCCTCTCCATTTTTAAGATTTTATTTATTTATTTGTAGAGAGAGGGGAAGGAAGGGAGAAAGAGAGAAACATCGATCAGTTGCCTCTCACATGCTCCCAATGAGGGACCAGCCAGCAACCCAGTCATGTGCCCTAGCTGGGAATCGAACCAGCTAACCAGCTACCTTTTTGGTTTGCAGGCCAGCACTCAATTCACTGAGCCACACCAGCCAGGGCTCCATCTTTTCCTTTAATTTTTTGTGTTGTTTGGAAGGAACTGGGACCTTTGTCCTATAGAGCTTCCTACAGTCTGGGTTTTGCTGAGCCCCTGTGGCATCTTTGATATGTTTCTCTGTCCCCTGCTGATAAAGATTGGTATTTACACTTAAATTTTGATCAGAAGTCATTTTCAGTTTTGTTGTTTATCTGTTCAGTTTTGTCAAGAATGTTTTCCTCAGTTTGGTGTTTTCTTCCATCAGGAGGTACCTGAGGTTTGGTTGCTTCCCTTTCTGTGACTAAGCACCCACGGGCAGCCATTCCGCAGACTCACGATTTCATCAACAATGTTCTAATTCCTTCACTGACTGTTACAGGAGTGTCCAGCCTGTAGCCCATGGGCCACATGTGGCTCAGGATGGCTGTGAATGCAGCCCAACACAAAAATCATAAACTTACTTAAAATGTCATGAGATTTTTTGGTGATTACGTGTCACAATGTATTTATTGTGTGGCCCAAGACAACTCTTCTTCAAGTGTGACGCAGAGATGCCAAAAGTTTGGGCACCCCTGGAAGCCTCCCCTTGCCTGCTCTTTGTTGGCCCAGTGGTACAGATAAGAAAGGCAGAATCAATGCTTGTTTCCTTCTTTTAATTATCACTTATCAAAATAATGAGTTGGACCCCTGATATCTGCCAAGGGAGGTCATGGGGTTTCAATGTTATTATTCATTCATTTATTTTTTTAAAAAAGCTCTATGTTTTTATTCTTAAAGATTTTTAAAAAAATATTTTATTTATTTTTAGAGAAGAGAAGGGAAGGAGGAAAAGGAAACATTCATGCGCGGTTGCCTCTTGAGCGCCCCCGCCTGGCCCCCAACCCAGGCATGGGTCCTGCCTGGGAACCAAAACAGCAACCCTCTGGTTCACAGGCCAGCACTCAGTCTACTGAGCCACACCAGCCAGGGCAATCTATTCATTTTAAACGTCTTATTTATAGACAGGAGGGAAGGGAGTAAGAAAGAGGGAGAGAAACACCGATGTGCGCAAGAAACATCGATCAGTCCCTTGCATGTGTCTGATTCAGGATGTTCCTTGAACCACTCTGTTGTTATGTCCAGTCTCGGTGGTGTCACCCACTGGATGTCCAGCTCCATTTGTGACACTTTACTTTTCGGTGTTTGGGGACTGCTTATTATCTTACGTTACAATTATGTGAAATATCTACACAGTTTCAAAATTCAATCTGGAAAGCAGGGCACATTCAAATAAATCTGGCTATTATCCCTGCCCCTCTACCTTCTTCCCTTCCTCCTAAGATAAATTTATATTTACCTTTTTAAAACATTAGCACTTAGGCCCTGGCTGGTGTGGCTCAGTGGATTGAGCGCCAGCCTGAGAACCAAAGTGTCTCTGGTTCAATTCCCAGCCAGGGCACAAGCCCGGGTTGCAGGCCAGGTCCCCAGTAGGGGGCATGTGAGAGGCAACCACAACCTTTCTTTCTCCCTCCCTTCCCCTCTCTCTAAAAATAAATATTTCTTAAAAAATTAAAATATTAGCACTTAGGTTCATAGATTCCTCTCCCATTTTATTGTCTACTGCAGTTTTTCTCAACCCTATTTTTTAAAAGATTTTACTTACTTTTAGAGAGAGGAGAAGGGAGGAAGAAAGAGAGGGAGAGAAACACCAATGTGTGAGAGATACAGTGATTGGTTGCCTCTCACATGCCCCCAACTGGGGACCTGGCCTGCAACCCGGGCTTGTGCCCTGACTGGAAATTGAACCAGAGACACTTTGGTTCTCAGGCCGGCGCTCAATCCACTGATCCACACATGCCAGGGCTCGATCTTGGTTTTTATTTGGCTCCATGTCCTTGCCCTCACTCTGCAGGATATACAGCTGTCCTCATTCCCTCACTGGAGGTACCATGGTTCACTCCTCCTTGTGTGGGCACTGGGCTCTTGCTCATCTTTGACTGTTAAATGGCCCAACTGGATGGGAGCCCAGGTCTGAGTCAGCTGACTTAGTCAGGGCAGGTCTGGGATGGACGCCTCCGGCACCGTCCACTGGGAGCTCTGAGGCCCTGAGCAGTGCCAGGCTGGGGCTGGGGGAAGCTGAGAGTGAGGAGGCAGAAGGTGTTAGGGCTGACCACTATCTCTTACAGGACTCCTACCCGCGGTTCCTGAAGTCGGACACATACAAAGGTTTGCTTGCAGAGGCCATGATCCCCCCGGAGACAAAGAGACGGTGAGCCGAGGTGGTGCCCTGTGCGCAGGAGCTGTGAGGCAGGCAAGATGCTTGAGGGCGTCCTGCACTCAGGCCCCTTCTCACCCACAGAGTGTTCCCATTCACGTGGAAGCCACGGCAGCTGAGCCCCACACCTGCTTTCCTTCCTGCCTCCGCCTCTGCCTCCAGGGAACCTGCAGGGGCTGCCCGTGGCCCTGGAGGTGGTGATGGGGAGGTGTAGGTGGGCCTGAGCTTGGAGGAGGAAGCGGCCAGCCTCGCCTCTTATCACCCCTTTCTAGCCTAGGGTTCTGGCAGATGCTGAGGTCCCCAGCATGGGTATCCCCTAGTGCACAGAGGGTCTGGCCTTGCTGTGGGGACACGAGTCTCTCTCAGGAGTTCCAGAAGGAACCGGTCCAGGTGCTGACTTCCAGGAAGGGGGTGTCATTGGCTGAGCTTCGATCACCTGGAGACAAGATGGGCAAACCAGACCAAGGCCACGCTCCTGGTGTTATGTAGCCTTCAGTTAGATGCCCACCCCCAGCTCCAGAACCAGTCAGGAGGCAAGCACCCAGAAGCCAGATGCGTAGACAGGTGGTGTCCTGCAGGAGGGTGTGCGTGCTTCAAAGCCAAATTACCCGCTCCGCTCTGCTCGGTGACTCCGACGGGGACTCCACAGAGCTCCCCGTTTTGCTGGGGCCGTGCTCAGCCTTCCAACAAGTACAGAGCTGTCCGCGCAGGTACTGTCCTGACCTTCACCGTCACTGCCCGCATCCCAGATGTGTCATGGTGGTGCACCTATCTGGTCTTCTCAAGTTTCTTGAGGCCATGGCTTCTGTGTCAGATGTAGAGATGATTCCAAAGCCATCACCCCTCTGATAACTGTCCCAGTTCCAGCCCTGCCTGGGGGGGTGGTCAGAACCTTCGAGGAGCTGGTGACACCAGTTGTCCTTGCCTCGGAGCGCCCCACTTTCCCCCAGACTCAAGATGAAGGAACACCGCTCCTTTGGGAGTGTAGCTCTGGCTGAGCTGAGAGGATCTTGTGCCCCTCAGCTGGCCTGGTGCACAGGGCTTCACTGCTCCCACCCATTCCTGGCACAGAAATAAAAGACCCTTGTCCCTCATGCTGAGCTCATCCTGCTGTGGTCCAAATTGTGTGCGTCTGTGTGCATGAGGCATGCGTTGGCGAGGGAGACAGTGAAAGACAATGTGGGCAGTTTGGTGTCATGGAAGGTCGCGCGTGTGGACACCCACAGCAGAGGAGAAACCAGCCCTTAGGCTGAACTCAGGTTGCACACTTGGGGGTGTTTGGTTTTTGGGGAGACAGCCAGGAACACTGTCTGCACCTTGAAGGACAAGGATGTCTGAGTACTCCAGGGGGAAGTACAGTGCAAAACCAGCACAGATTCCTCGTACTGAATCCACTGCCTCCTGGGCAGGTTGTGCCCTAAGGCCAGGGAGTTCCGCAGAACACGGCGTGGACCCCCCTGGGCACAGCTGCTTTATTTGCAAGTCCAGGCTGCTGGAGAGCCACCAGGGAGGGCATCCCTGGGCTCAGCCTCCGAACTCCTGCTCACTACCCCAGGACCTACACAGGGTGGTCCCTCCCGGAGCTGGCTCCTCAGCCCAGGGCGGTGGACCCCAACCTGGTATTGAATCCTTGGGCACCGCTCGAGCCCCCAGCCCGGCCTAACCCCAGGTGATTTTCACTTGCAGACCTGTCACTTTTCACAGGCATATTTTTGGGGGGAGTGAGGGGGCGTGAGGTCACAGGGACAGCTTTTCCTATTTAAATGCCTGCAGGAAATTACTAAAGGACTCTTTAAACCATTTCCCTCATCAGTCTGGCACCTAAAGTTGCAACTCACTGACACCCTCTGCCTGGGCAGCTGCCAGGACTCACCCCCAAACCCTCCCTGGCCAGCCCTTGGAAGACACGTGGGCACTGGGCCGGGGGCGGGGGTCCGCTGCGCTGCCTGGCCCAGGTGAGTGCACATGCACGCCCACGGGCTGGGTTCCTGTCTTGCTGTGAACAGGAAGGGGCCCTCAAACCTGAGATGCACTTGGAGACTGTGCTGAAAGACCTCTGGGCCCCGAGTTTCTACTCCAACTGTGCGTGGCGGTGCGGGGGGGCAGGGGCGACACTCCCGAGAATCACAGGTCTGAGGGAGCCTCACCTCCTCAGCCACCCTTTCCCACCCTGACCCAGAAGCCTGGCTGGGAGCAAATACACACGAGGCGCACATGTGCCCCCTGGGGCTTTTCTGGCCAGTGCAGAAAATTGTTTCTTCTGTGGTACCCAGAGTCAAGGTTTATTTTTATTTATTTATTTCGTCCGGGCACAGTTGAGCCCTGGGGTGTAACAAGGCACAGAGGTGAGTCCTGCATCAGGGGACACCAATGCCAGGGATATCTGAGCACCAGGAAGGGGGGGAGCTGGCTACACCTAGGGGTACAGGGACTCCAGAGGGACAAGTGACTCCAGTGTGTACGAAGAGGATGCAAAATGACCCCAGTGTGTGTCGTACGGTCAGTTCCTTGGGAAATTCACAGCACAAGCAGCTAACACAAGGGCATAAGCCCCGCTTGGGGCATCGGTGAGGGATGCCGCCCATTGTGTCCTAAAGCCCCAATCCTCACGGGCTGGGCTGAAGGGGCTCCCCAAGGCAAGTCACACCGACCATGCTGGGGGCTGGTACTGCCTCAGGTCCCAGCCGCCGAGGCCACCCCAGGGCCCACCATCCTCTGAGCTGCTTGATCTCAGGGGGACAGTGCTGAGTCAGGATAGCTAAGACGGGAAATGGAGAGGGGATTTCTACAGGACGGGCCTGGGCTCTTCCCCCAGGGAGACCACAGTGAAGGCAGCTGGCCCTGAGCGTGTGACCCCAGTGGGGCAGGGTGAGGACCCATGTGAGGGCACAGTGTGCTGGGCAGGAGAGGCCTGGGCGTCCCCTCACCCACCCACGTCCCTGGGGACTGAGGGAGCGCTGCGGAGAGCATCGCCAGGTTCAGGAGTGGAGACTCAGCGTCCAGGTCAAGTGAATGAAGGGCCAGCTTCCTAGGATGTTGACTTCAGCAGCTGGAGCCTCTCACACGCTCCGACTGCTGTGCACCTAGGTCTCGCTCTGGTACCGCAGGCGGGAGAGCCGGTCCCTGGTGGCCTGGTCACTGTCAGGCCCACCCTCGGTCAGGCGAACCACCCTGCTGCTCAGGATGAGGTCCTGCACCTTGTGCTTGGCCACGGAGACCAGGCCGGGTGCATCTGGGTTGGCTGGGCCTGTGAGGAGGATGCAGGCGGCATGGCGGCCTGGCTCAAAGAGGGCCACTGTGGAGGACAGAGTTGTCAGGTCTCGTGACCAGACTCAGCAGACCTCCCCGTGGACGGTGCCCAGGTCTGCACCACGGCCACACTCACCTTGGAAGGCGACGACATTGGCAGAGACGTTGGCCAGCTCCAGCAGGACACTGGGCTGGGTGGGGTGAAACATGTACAGGCTGCGCTGGCTGTCTCCGGGTTCCTACGGCGAGAACCAGCAATGGGGCATGCGGCCGACCAGGGCTCCAGCCCTGTCTGCATCTGGGCCAAGAGCCCCAGTGTCCTGGGCCTCATAGCTGGGCACTGCTGCACTCATCCCGTACGGGACACGCCTGACAGTGCCCATGACCGGAGCTGTGTGTACTGGAGTCCCCTAAAACGTCAGTCTGAACTCTGGACCCACCTTCCGCCCCTCTTCCCCCCAACCTGACCCTGACCCTTCTCAGTGTCCTCTGCCTGGAACTTGGCCTCGCCCTCCCCAGTAGAGCCCACTCCTTCCCAGATTCCCCTTGTGTCTGGCCCGGGGGCAGACTCAAGCCCTGGCCTCCCCGGTGGCCAGGGCGCTGGCTTCTCCCACCCAACCTCCCACAGTTTCTACTTGCGTGTGTGTGTCCAGTCACCCAATTAGCTTCTCAAGGTGGAACCTAAGACTGGCCTCTGGTCTCTGGCCCTGGCCCCTGGCATTGGTGTGTCTCAACTGTGTGCTCTGCCCGTACCGTCTGGTTGGCACCGACCAGCTCGTGGAGACCCCAGAAGAAGAAGGCTGAGCGGTGGTCTGCGGTGGGCAGGCTGGCAGACTGAGGGTCTCCAGGGAGGCCTGGCAGGGCCTGGCTCCACAGGAGAGCCCCAGTGCTGAGGTCCAGGAGCAGGATCTGGGGAGGAAGAGGACGGCACGGGCAGCCAAGGGCGGGACCGCACAGGCACACGGGCCCCGCTGTGCCAGCCCTGAACGCGCCGCTCCCTGGGGCTGACTGAGGTGTCTCCCTGAGGCCTTCCTTGCCCCAGCTCAGCCTCTAAGCCACCACCCGACCTGCTGTTCTGACTAATTTTCCTCAGCTCCTAACAAAGGTAAGACCACAAAAAGGAAGTGCTGCCAACCTGTCTGTCAATGCCGGTTCCATTTTCAATGACCACAGCCATGGTGTCAGGTTTGTAGCGACCAAGGATGGGTTTTCTAGACAAACAGAGAAGTCACAAAGGGTCTCTGTGAGGAGATACCTGGGGACAGGTATGCCGCCCATCTTCTCCATGTCCAAACCTGGGCCGGGTCAGGCTGTCCTGGCTGAGGGGGCTTCACCGGCCCCTCAGTGCAGGGCGGCACTGGAAGACAGGCAAGAGGCCTCTAGCAGAAGCACACTGGTCCCAGTTGGGGGCCTTGTCCCCAGGGTTGCTGAGGGGATGGGCTGGTAGTGCCTGGTTTGCAACAACTGCACGGGTTCCTGGAGAAGACCCCGTACCTGAAGACCTGGGCTACGCTGAAGGTCCACCTGGGTGCCAGCTCCTGCCCATCCAGCAGCACACAGGCCTCTGAACCCACGACAAGGAGGTCCTCGCCACCTTTCCCGGGAACGTTCATTAGGTGATTGATGGCTCCAGAGCTAGAGAGTGTGGGAGGGACGCAGCTTGGACACAGGGCCCAGAGGCAGGGCCCCTCCCCCAAGCACTGCCCACCAGACTCCCATGTGTAGCCCTGTATTTCTTAGTTCTCTAACTTGAGAATATAAAACAAGACTCTTACTGTGCATGGAGAGAGGGTGAACCCGCTGTTGGGAAACTTTTCCGTTTTTGTTTTTAAAGATTTTATTTATTTATTTTTAGAGAGAATGGGGAAGGGAGGGAGAAAAACAGGAAAAGAAACATTGATGTGAGAGAGATACAGTGATCGGTTGTCTCCTCTATGCGCCCCAACTGGGGACCAAACCCGTAGCTTAGGCACATGCCGGGACTGGGAATCAAACCAGTGACCTTCCGCTTTGTGGAGCAATGCCAAACCAACTGAGCCATACCGGGCAGGGCTTGCTTGGTTTTCGCAAGGCTCTGTTCGCCCAGTTCCTATGTTTGACCCCAGGATGACCTCGCAGCACCTAGAGCCAAGCCCTCAGCGCCCTGACTACCCTAAGCACCGAGGAACAGGACCTGGCCTATGTGACGCCCCCCAGACCAACCTGTGCAAAAGCAGCCTGGGGTTGGTGGCGTTGAGCATGTTCTCCCAGCTGGGGTCTCTCCTTAGTGAGCTGTCTCTCCCGGTCACTTTTTCATAGATGTCCTTCACAGAGTGGCCACAGATGGAACTTGCTACTCAAAACACAGAAGAGCCTCAGGTCACCGGGGGCTGCTGCTACATCAGGAGGATGTGCGCCCATCAGCCCCCCTTCTAAAAACATGTGGTGCCCTCCTTGAGCCTGGGAGGGGGTGCTGAGACCATCTGGGGCCCTCTCAGCCTGTCAGTGATTAATGTGAATCCCTAGAATAAAAGCAGGGGTCGACGAGCCTCACGGCAGTGACCGACCTCCTCGCACTCTGCTCTCTCCAGCGTGCACTGCTCATCTGAGACCAGCACGGCCTCTGCAAGTGAGGCTGTTCCGGGACCCGGCAGGCACGACATACCGCAGGGAAGAAGGATGTAGTGGGCGCCCGCCCTGGTGACATAAAGGAGGAAGTCACTGGTCTTGCCCACACTGAGGCTGCCTTGGTGGCCAATCTGGTGCCCGGTGCTGCCTGAATAGAGGTAGCTGCTAACCTGCAAAACACGGGAGGAAAAGGGGTCAAAATCACCCTGGTTTGGAGAAAGAGAGCTTTGATTTAAGAATGTCTGATATCAGGCATCTGTGTGTGGCCTGCCTGGGAGAAGTGGGCAGTCTCCAGGGCTAGAGTCCCTCCCTGTCCTCACAGCTTCACCACAGTGGCACAAATGGTAAGTGCACGCCTGTTCTTGGGGAGGCCCAGGAGCTGCGGACGGGGTCAGTGTTGCCCAGTAGGCTGGGTCCGCAGGTGCCAGAACAAAGGACCTTGGGTAAGTCCCTGACAAGCGATCAGACCCAAATATTGCCTGGGAAGTGGAAGTGAACCACGAAGCAGAAAAGAGAGAGACCACAGGGCACGTGGGCTACCGCGATCAGGAGGAGAGCCATACCTCCTCTTCCTCTTGTGTGAGAACCAGCAGATCTGGGGCCCCATCAGCATCAAGGTCAGGCACCTGGAGCAAAGGGCTCAGGATGGAAGAGTTTCTTCTGAAGCTGCTGGGCTGGCTCCACAGGGTCTCCCCTAAAACCAAACACAGATCACTGGGCGCTGGCCCCAGATCCTCTTCCACCACACGCAGCCTGGCAAATGCACAGATGTTCCTGCTCGGAGATGAAAACCCCCACCAACAGGGGGCTGAAGGCAGGTGAGAAAGTATGAATGCACTGATGTGCGCATGTGCAAAAAGCCCAGGGGCTTATATAGCAAGTGTTAAAGTATTACTTTCGGGAGCTGCAGAATTTACCCACTTTTTTCGTGAACCCATTTGCTAATGCTTGGCTCTAGAGTACCTTAGGGCCAATGCTGACCCTCCCCCTCTGGATGGACAAGGCCTGACCTCGCCATCTCCCAAGGCCCCTCAGGACCCCTGTCTGCTGCTGGGTTCAAAGATGGACCCTCTGCCCCCACAAAGGCCCTGGCTGAGTGGCCTGGGCCTTTGCCTTTCACACAGAAGAGAACGTAGGTGCTTAGGGTGACACCTGGGGACTGCAGGTCCTGAGGTAACAGCTTCTGACCCAACATAGTCTTGTCTTTTTTTTAGGGCTGATTCCTCTCTTCTTAAAATATTTCAAGCCTGCTCTTTATTTTCCTCCATATCCTTAAAACCACAACTTGTAAGAGAAATGCTAATATACACCAAATGTAGTATCAAGGCACAGAATTCCTCAAGACCTTGGTAAGGTGTGAGAGGCCATCCGCTCAGTGCCTAAACATGGCTGGTGACCGGGAGCACCCCCACGTCCGGCGCACCGACAGGCCCAGCTCTCCACTCCGCGCCCTCCCACCCCCGGTGCACGGCCCGCACTTGCCCTGGCTGCCGTGAAAGAAGGCTGCGGCCACTTACTCCCATGGCCAGCAGCAGCCACGCCCCTCCCCTGCATCTCCGTCACTCCACAGGAAGTGCTCTGCCGTGCCCCCACAAGCAAGGTTCAGACAGGAGATGACAAGACACAATGGTGTGTGACATGTCAGAGTAGCTTTGGTGGGACTGCGAAGTGGCTGTGTCCTCCCACGGGGGTTCCTTCCCACTCTCTGACCATGTTTCCCGCGCAGTCACATTGCCTGAGAGCACAGGCCGACCCTGCTCAGGACCCTGGCACCGGTCCTCCCACACGAGCAGGCCCAGGTGGAGGTGCAGAGAGCACCGGCCTACCTGTAAATACATTGACTGCGATCAAAGAACCAGCTCTGTCCATGAGGATGCAGGCGGAAGATTCCCCGCTGTCTCTTGGCTGCGCAACATCACACAACACGAGGCCTCCATCCTGGGCTGCAGGCCTCTCCCAGAGGGTGCTGCCATTGGCTCCCGATACAGCGGCCACAAAGGAGCAGGGAGAGGAAAAGCCTGGGACAGACCCAATGCCGTGGGGACGCGCACGCAGCCCGCACACCGCCAGTTCTCCCTCACACCCTGCTCCCAGCCACAGCCCCTACTGGCCAGGCTCGCTGCCTTTACACCTAAGCCCCTTACCCGCCCCCACCCATGGGGGCCCCAGGGTAGTCAAGAAGGGTGGGTGCTGAGACTGGAGCTTGCCTCCCTCTCTCTTTCTAGTCCTGCTATGAATGAAGGGCAATGACGGTTTCCAGAAATTCTACCAAGTGCTTCCCCCAAACACTGCAAAAGCAAGGACTCCTCTTCCTACAGGGAGTTCATCCTTCAGATAGAAAGTAAATTACCTTCAAGGGTGCAGGACTCGTTGAAATCGTTGCTGCTGTTGGTGTTTTTATAAAGGAAGAGAACATCTTGGACCTTGTCCTTGTTTATGTCTTTTGTGGCCAGAAAGTCGTAGGTGACTAAAAAAGAAAACCACAGACTATATTCTTCAGACCATGCCTGGTTTAAAGACCAGGCCATGTCTGACACGACCTACTTCTCTGCTCCTTAGGGTTTGGTGCCAGTTAGAACCTACCCCTGTGAAATCACCACGGGGACTAGCAATGTCCCGCATCTCCTCAGAACACCAGCAATTCTTCATCCACACGATGAATGCTGGTATCAGCGGTTAGCCTTTAGGAAGGAGCAAGCACGATACGTGGGTTCCACAAATGGACGCCCTGAGCGCCTTCCATTCAGGAATGAATTCCTGCTTACATCAAGTTTGGAATTGAAAGATACCACACTTCCATACACATCAGGGTCTAGCCTTTCATTTGAAGACTCAAAAGATAAACTAAGAACAAACTTGGGCCCTTACACCATATAAAAAAATGCACTCGAAATGGATCAATGACATACACTTAAGAACTAAAAACTATAAAACTCTTAGCAGAAAACATAGGGGAATCTTCATGACTTTGGTTTTGGTAATGATTTCTTTGCTGTAACAATAAAAGCATAGGGAAAAAATAAAAATAAAAATAAAAGCACAGGCAACTCTAAGTGGTGTCCAGAGAGGCTGATTCAGTTGCTTTTCATAAAGGCAAAAATTCCAGACTGCCAATTTTATGGGAGAAATGAAAAATGTGCTTTACTCTAGCTAAACCCTTCAGAAAGATTGGACTACAAAATCAGCTGCAGATATGCCACATTTCAAGAACAGCGTTCTATCTCTTCTGCCAGTTACTGTTTTGCTTTTTTTTTTTTTTAATTCTGAAAAGCCAAAAAGGCCACTTTCCTTTACTGACCTAGCTTGTCCTTCCTAAAATGGGAGAGCAGACTACTGTGCTTCCACAGCAGTCCTTCCATTTTTACTGATAAGCTGTTCTTGGAGCTCCTCCAAAATTCCAGGAAAACCATGGACACAGAATTAGCGGCTGCTTAGGGTCAAGGAATTCCACCATGCGTCACACCAGTGCAAATGCCTCTTCTCCTCTAGCTTTGGACCTCTTCCCTCATCTCTGATTGAAATGGACCTCCAATGCTCCTGCCCTGCTGGACGTGTGCCGGCTGCTGCAAATGCCCCTCCAGCAAGAAGAGCTGCTGCTGTGCTGCCCCATGGGCTCTGCCCATAGTGCTCAGAGCTGTGTCTGCAAAGGCGCATCGGACAAGTGCAGCTGCTGTGCATGAAGGTCCCAGAGCAAAGAGAGCATTGCATTCAAAAGTGCATTTTTTTTTCATTCCACCCTGAGCCATTTGCCACATTCTCTTCCCTATGAAATATGTGAGGGATAATAAAAGTTGCTGACTTAAAAAAAAAAAAAAAAAAAGATGAATTCTAGATTCCCCGACACATATGCTGTGCCTGCTGGCCCACCCAGAGGAGAGAATGTCATTGCAGGGGTGGGGGTGGGGACGCACCAGCCATGTTGTAATTGATCCTCCACATCCCCTGTAATGCCAGCCTGTCTGGACATGGGATGATAAAGGAAATCACGAACACCACCAAAAGACAGATAAACAGCGAGAGGAAAAATGCCACTGTCCGGCATCGGGAGAGGCGAGACTGCAGAGGCGTGCTTTTCACGTTATCTTCCTTTTTCAATTGGTTTCCCAGACTCTCCTGCAATTTCCCGTCTTCGTTCTTCAAGGGGTGGATTTCAGCTTCCAAGTCCTTGCTGTCCATTGTGTGCACATCCCAAAGTTTACCTCCTGGTCACTGTGTCAATAAAACAAGAGACAGTTAAGAGCTGCAGCACAGTATGATCTCCAGGGCCCTGCTGCTCTTAGTGGCGTAGGAGCATGGTTACAGTGGTGACCGTGGGCCATCACCCCAAGAAATAAAAGCTAAATAAATGTTTAGGGTATCAATGATTCCACCTAAGAAGGTCTTTAATTCAGAAAGACAAATTGGTATAGAGCCAGCACAGGAAATTTCTTCATCCTTCATATGCTGATGTTTCTTGCTCAATGACCCTGGGACAAGCCTAGGGACCTGCTGGGCAGTGTGGAGCCAGGGCTGATAATAACTAAACATTAACTAAGTAAGCCCTGCCAGCTCACGGGCTGGGCACCTCTGATAAGCCTCTGCCAGCCTAAAGCACAGATGGGAAGGGACTGGTGGGACCCTCTGGAGGGTCACGGACCCCAATTTAAAAGCATGAGTGAAGGTGGGCTCTGGAGCCTCAGCCTTGCCCCTCACTCACTGTGTGACCTGCGCAGCTCCTTGATGTGACAGTGCCTGATTTCCTTCTCTGTAGAAGGGAAACAACATCGACTTTGGAAGACTGTTTTGAGGGTTAAATTAGTAAGTGAATAGAAAGCAGCATTTAAAACAGTATCTGACACATATGAAGCACTCAAACACTTGCTAATTGTTATTATTTTTTATTTTAAAATATTTTATTTTTGGAAAGAGGGAAGGGAAGGAGAAAGAGAGGGAGAGAAACATTGATGTGAGAGAAAAACATCCATTGGTTGCCTTCCGTACACGCCCCAGGGGACCAAACCTGCAACCCAGGCCTGTGCCCTCACAGGTATCGGAGAGGACTTGCAACCTTTCCGCTCTCAGGACGCCACCCAATCAACTGAGCCACACCAACCAGGGTACACTAGTTAATTGTTAATAACAAGATAAAACATGTTAGAAGTCACATGGGAGAGAGTGGACAGCTGCATGGATGAGTAGAGAAAATATGCCCAGCTTCTGAGCCTTTACGGGGGAGAACAAGCTCTGCCCTGCCCTGTTCCCCTTCCTGCGGCTGGACGGTGGGTGGCTGTGGTGGGGAAACCTGGAGCGGCCACCTTGAAAAATAAGATGGAAAACATTCTTGAAGACGGTGAAGCCACAGGAAAGAACATGGGTCCCTGGTAGCTGGAAATCACCACCATCAACCCTTGACTTCTTTATTATATGAAAAACAAACTTCTGTCTTGTGTAAGGCAGGATGTTTTGTTTTTCTGATCTTTTTTAAATAGTCAAACCAATGTCCTAACTAACACAAATTATATTAAGAGAATGGAAGGGATTATATGAACCAGAGTAACTTGTAATCCTCACCAAGCCAATGACTCAAAATGGGTAAAACAGAACACACCAGCGGTTAAATGGAGGCAAAATCCAGAGCAACAGAAACTTGCTCCCTTTAGGAATGGGCTAAAAGAGGATGGAAAGAGACAAGAGATTGGTGTTTTTGGTATAAATTTTACACTTTCTGACTTTAACCGGTTTTCTCCATTTAATAAAAACAATATACTTAAAAACCTGTGTATAGACCCATTAAGGTAGCTTAAATTACAAAAATTAAAAATGACAAGTGTTGCCCTGGCCTGGAGGCTCAGTTGGTTGGAGCATCATCCCATGTGTCCAAAGGTCTGCCTGGTCAAGGCATGTACAGGAGACAACTGATCAATGTTTCTCTCTCACATCAACGTTTCTCTGCCCCCCCCCCCACCCCCTGCTCCTCTCCCTCTAAAACCAATAAACATAGCCTCGGGTGAGGATTGAAAAAAAAAAACCAGTGAAAAGTGCTGGTGAGGATGTGGAGAAACTGGGAGCCTTGTGTATTGCTGGTGGGAATGGAAAATAGTCCACCTGCTGTGGCTAACAGCTTGGCGATTCCTCAGGAAGTTAAACACAGAATTACCATATGATCCAGCAATTCCACTTCTAACCCAAATGAAAACAGAATCATACAAAAATTTGAAAACAAATATTCCTAACTTCATGATTTCTAACAACCCAAATGTCCACCAACAGATGAATGGATAAGCAAAACGTGGTAATTCCATACAATGGAGTGTTATTTGGCCGTAAGGAGGAATAAAGCGCTCATACACTACAATATGGATGAGCCTTGAAAACACTTAAACTCAGTGAAATAATCCAGAAGCAATATGTCACATATTATATATTCTATGTATGTGAAACATCCAGAATGGGCAAATCCATACAGGCAGAAAGATCAGTGGTTGCCAAGGGCTGGGGGAGAGGGAAATGGGGCGTGATTGCGAATAGAGGCAGGGTTTCCTTTCAGGGTGATAAAAGTGGTGGCGACGGTTGTAAAACATCGTGAGTACTAAATGTCATGAATGATAAATTTTGTATCATGTGTATTTTTACCACAATTTAAAAAGAAAACCAAACAAATCTGTGTACATTCTCCTTCATGCTGAGACATAAGTTTTACCGTCTTGCCAGTCAGAAAAGGTGTGTCTGTCAAAGGTAGTAAGTTCAACACAGGAAAGCAAACAGTGATTCATGACCAGGGACCTCACCATGCCCAAGCACTGGACCTGGGTGTGGGGGAGGTGGGGCAGGCGTCTGCAGGGGTAACTAAAGAGCCAGCAACAGAACCTTGACCAAGAGACAAGCTACTTACTCAGCAAACCAGGCCACTTTGTCCCCAGTAAGGGGATGTTTGAAATAATTAAAACATATAAATTCCTTCAGTAATGAAAACTTTACCAAAAAGAAAACTTTTTTGAATGAGAAATCAGAATTCTAAAATTCATGATTTTAAAAGCTCTATTTTTAAAGGTCTCTAACTTAAGCTTTAAAATGTTGGGGAAGGAACTCAAGCTCTCAGAGCTAGAGCTGCCCTGCTCAGTCGGAAGCCGGAGCATTTACCAGGCGACAGCAGGAAATCGCCCTAAGACTGTCTATGAAAGAATAAGGGGCATCTGCTCAAAATGACAGAACTATTCGCATTGTCTCTGACCCTCATTTCCCAGACCTACCTTGTGGCGGCAGCACCTGGAAGACGTGTTCAGCATTAGCTTCCTGACAGCCGCTGGTGCATCCGGCGATTGGATCGGGACAGGTGGATCTAGGGATTGTAAAGCCGTTGGTGAAATGCATCTTGGGCAGCCTGTGAATGCGTCAGGTGAAGGATGGAGGTCATCGCACTTTCACCATCAGATGATGACTGGGTTTCTCTTGCCTTCTGGCCCCTGAGGCGGAGACTCCACCCCCACTGTCAGCCAAAAGGAAAGCACAGGCAGGGGAGGAAGAGCCTCTCCCAGTAACCAAACTGCTCATATGTCTGAGTTCCTAAGCTACATGGATCCCTAAAGCTAAGAAAGGATAATGCAAAACAAATAATACTGATGTAGTCTGGTGTTCCATTTTTTCTTTTTGAAGTCAGCAATATATTATTACATAACACATTTGAAAGGTATAAAAGCATCAATCCCCTTCCTTCTTGTGGCCCTCAAGCTCAAGAGAAGCATGTTAGCAGTTTCTTCTTTTTAAAATCCTCATTCAAGGATATGCTTATTGATTTTAGAGAGATGGACACACACACAAACACACACGCGCCCCAACTGGAGAGAGAAACATCAATTAGTTCTCCTGTACCTGCCCTGACTGGGGATTGAATCTGCAACCTTTTGGTGTATGGGAACACGCTCCAACCAACTGAACCACCGGCCCAGGGCTGGTAGCAGTTTCTTATGGCTCCCTCCATTTATGTTCTGTGCACTGACATGCATAAAGTTTTTAAAATATGACAAGAAATGTGACTCTTCTCCACAGGTTAGGAGATCTCAGTCACCTCACTGGCTTCCTATTTTCCTGCTAAGAGAACTGTTTCAAGTCTGCCCTGACTGGTGTGGCTCAGTTGGTTGGGCATGGTTCCACAAAATGAAAGGTTGTCAGTTCAATTCCCGGTCAGGGCACATGCCTGGGTTCGGTCCCAGTAGGGGCACCTACTGGAAACAGTTGATAGATGTTTCACACTCTCACCAACATTCTTTCCCTCTCTTCCTCCCTCCCTTCCCCTCTCTCTAAAAACAAATATAAATAAAATATTTGGAAAAAGAAAAAAAAAAAAAAAGAACTGTTTCAAGTCTGAAGCTTCCCAAGGAGTCAAGGGTCTACATTGGAGATCCTTAAAACCTGAACTTCGCTAAGGAACATAAGCTCTTTCACTGAATGTTCCTTAAAAGTCTTCTGGTAAAGTCTTGCGATCTCTATCCCTATAGGAATATCCTCTACGGGGGGCTTCAAAAGAATGTGAAAAAGAGGAGGCAGTGAGTGCGCACACCGCAGCCTTCCACAGTCCCCACACTCTCCTTTGGTTGGGGTGGCAGGGCTTTCTCAGTGCCAGGCTAAAGACTGAGCTTGGGCTGTGTTTTTCTGGATAGCAGGGCTGCAATTCTTGTAGTTTAGAACCTTCAGTTTCACATTACCCAAGGAGCGAGCTTTCCCTAGTCATCCTTAGATCTCCTCAGACGTCTCACCTTGCAGATTTCCTACATAATCTGAAAGTATTGGTGTTCTTTACAGAAATACAGTTTTATTATCCTCAGTGCCATCATGCAAACCAGAGGCAGGTTTACCAGCCGCAGATGAGTATATGTGTTCTGTATTACAAAAGGAAAATATCTGATATACCAAGTGGAACAATAACATCTTTTCAGAGTTTAAGAACAGTAGCATTAGAAATCAGTATCAAAAAAAATATGGAAAATAAAAAAAACCGTCTGAAAATTAAATGACTCCTCAAAATAACCCATGGGCAAAAGAAGGAAACAAAAAACAAGATATTTTAGCCCTGGCCACTGTGGCTCAGTTGGTTGGGCATTGTCCTGCAAACCTAAAGGTGCAGGTCCAATTCCCAGCCAGGGCACATGCCCGGGTTGCTGGCTTGGTCCCGTCAGGGCGCATGAGGAAGGTAACCTGTGGATGTTTCTCTCTTGCATCGATATTTCCCACCCTCTTGTTCTTCCTCCCTTCCCCTCTCTAAAATCAAAAATCAAAATAAAATATTTTAGGTCTGGCTGGTATGGCTCAGTGGGTTGAGCGCCCGCCTGTGAACTAAAAGGTCGCTGGTTTGATTCCCAGGCCAGGGCACAGGCCTGGGTTGCAGACCAGGTCCTCAGTTGGGAACGTGCGAGAGAGATAGATGTATTTCCAGCACACCGATGTTTCCCTCTTTCTCCCTCCTTAGCCCTCTCTCTAAAAATTAATTAATTAATTAAAAATAAATAAAATATTTTAAACTGAATGAAAATATTTAAAAATTGTAGAATGCTAAAGCTATACATGGGGAATTTATAGCCCTATATACCTACATTAGAAAGATTTCAAATCAGTATATCAACCATCAGCTGAGAATAGGGGGAAAAAGTAATTAAACTCAAAGTAAGCAAAAGATAGGAGGTAATAAAAACAAAAGTGGAAATTACGGAAATAGTAAATTGAAAAAATATTTTTAAAAATTAAGAGAACTGCAGCTCTGTGGGCACAGCATGTATATGTAGGATCGCTGTATTTTCTTGCTGTCCTTTACCTCATTACACCACATCCAACTCTGCCCCTACTAATCTTCTTGCTCTGAAGTCTACTCTATTATTAATAGAGTTATTCACATCTCTTTTTGATTAATGTCTGCATGATATATATGTACCTTTTTCTATCCTTTTACTTTCGATTCACCTGTTTCATTACTATATTTGAAGTAGGTTGCTTTTAGACAACATATGGATAATTTTAAATTTTATTTTCTTCTTTTTTTTTTTATGCTCACCCAAGGGTATTTTTTAAAAAGTTATTTCAGACAGAGAGGACAGGAGGTGGGGAGATGAAGAGAGAAACATCAATGTGAGAGAGAAACATGGTTGTCTTCCATACTCACCCTGACTGGGGATTAAACCCTTTCTGATGTAGAGGCAACACTCCAACTGAGCCACCTGGCCAGGACTGGGTCATTTAAGATTTTTGCTTATTTATTGATTGATTTTTAGACAAAGGGAGGGAGGGATGGAGGTAGGGAGAAAGATAAAAAAAGAGAGAGAGAGACAGAGAGAGACATCAACTTATTGTTCCACTTTTTAATGCATTCACTGGTTGCTCCTTGTGTGTGCTTTGACCTGAGATGGAACCTGCAATCCTGGCATATCAGGACAACGCTCCAACAAATGGAGCTCCCTAGCCGGAGCTGGATCTTTTTCATGAATCCACTCTGCAATCAATCTTTTATTTTCAGACCATTTACTTTCAAGGAAATTATTGCTATGTTAGGCCTTCAATCTGCCTTTTAGTAGTTTGTTCCCTGTTTTTGTTTCTTGGATCTTTCTCCCCCAACTTCCTGTAGATTACTTGAATGTTATTTAGAACTCCAGTTTGATTTATCTATAGTGTTGCTCTTAGACCTCCCTAACAGTGCAATCTACTGGTGTCAGCATTTTACTATTGCACTTCAAGTGAAATGTAGAAAATGTACTTCCCTTTAAGTCCTTTTACCTACTCTTGTGTGTATTATAATTGTATTAAATATTTCCTCTATATACATTGAGAACCACATCAATATTATAGTTTTTGTCCCATCAATTTAGAAAACTCGAGAAGAAAAGTCTGTAGTAGTTACTTGTATTTTTGCTTTTTCTATTTTTTTCTCCCTAAGCTTTCAAGATTCCTTCTTTCATCATTTCCTTTCTGTTTCAAGAATTTCCTATAGTCATCCTTCTAAAGTAGGTCTACTGGCAACAAATTAATTTTCCTTCATTTGAAAATGTCTTTATTTCTCTATCATTCATGAAGAATAATTTTACCAGGTATAAATCTCAGGGTTTGAGGCACGTCCTTCTTGGTGCATGCCCACTTGAATCTCTTTTTCATGTGAATTTTCTTTCCCCTAAACTCTAAGGGACCCCCACGAGACTTGCATCCAGGGGAGCAATGGGCCGCTTGTTCCGGGCTGACCCCCCGAACCGATCTCCTCCAAGGCCCCCTTTTCTCTGACTTCCCAGTGACCTAAAAGCAGCCCCGCCTAGGCTCTCCCCTGCTGCTGCTTCTGTTTAAGCCCTTCCTTGTTTCACTGTCCCCCGCTTTAATAAATGTACTCTCAAAAAAACAAACAGACAAACAAAAAAACCCAACTCAGTTTGATAGGTTCTTTTCCTTCCGCACTTGACAAATGTTATGCCACTTCCTTCTGGCCTTCAATGTTTCCGGTAAGAAATCTGCTGTCATTTGAATTGTTTTTTCCCCATAAGTAACATATCAATTCTTCTTTTTTTAGTTTTCAGAAGTTTAATTGTAATCTGTCTTGGCATGGATTTGAGTTTATCTTGTCTGAGGTTTGCTCAGCTTCCTCAACCTGTAAGTTTACATTTTTTTTGCAAAGTTATGAATATTGTCAGCTTTCATTTTGGCTTCCTGGAGCAGCAGCAGCACCTGTGGGAGTTACGGGGCTGGGAGGGCTCCAGGCCGTGCCAACAGGGACCTGATCCGAACAGGCTCAAAAACAAACTACCAGAGGCTTCCTCCTAAACTGAATTGATGTTTATAAACTCAAGAGCTTTTTTTTCTTTTTATTTCAAATGGCAAAGGTTAAATTGCAGATAAAAATCGAGTAAGACAAACTTCAAGGTATTTTGCCTCTAATGTCACAGTGAAGCATCTGCAAACCGCACACCTGGACAAACCATATCCCTGATACCAAGGTGTTTTTTGGTTCCTCATTTGCTAGCACAGGGAAGACCCATAGCCACTGGGAATAAAAGGGTCCAACTTAGGGACAAAAATGGCTATCTCTTAGCTGGCAAAATTCAATATGAGATGTCTAGAAAATAGGAATCCTAAGGAACTGTTAACATTTGTTCCCATTAAGTCAACAGATCTCAAAAGGGAAACAAAATCCATGTATGTCCACAAACACAGAGTGAGGCAAAAGTAGACTTACAGTTGTTCCTGTGGAAAATAATGAAATAATTAATAAATAATAACATGCCCTGGTCAGGTAGTTTACTTGGTTAGACCATCATCCCAATATGCCAAGACTGCAGGTTCGATCTCCAGTCAAGGCATATACAAGAAGTAACC